TGATGGGCAGTAGGAGAAGTGGGGAGGAGGTCAGTCTGCAGGAGAAATGGTGTGCTCTCCTTGCCTTTTATCCACCTAGTGATCAACTTTCTCTATGATTCACCAGAGATAGTCGCCATTGAAAAAGTAAAAGATTTTGGGCCAAGTGGATTCTTGGTCCTCATCATGTTCATGAGGACTTCGCGTAGAAGAAGAAGCGAACGCGAAAAAGTAGAAGTTATGGAATGGCGGTGACGGCGGGCAAGTTTTGAAAGGTTTTTGTGGAGAAAATGTGGAGCAATAGATTGAAGGCGGCATTTTTCTTCCCCGATTTAACGCCTCTTACGATCTGGTCCCACGAGTTGCCCGTGCAACACTTTTTCTTTGGCAGCGAGAACTCGACGATGTCTGAGCCGTTTCATGAAACTCTTGACGATTATTCCACAGAAGCTGGTCGTGGTAAGAGCATTCTGTCAGCGGAGCCTCTTACTGTACGTTGTGCTCTTACTAATTGCCTCTGTAGCACTTCGAGCAGGCGCCCGTACGTAGGCTGCGTGGTCCAAGGTTAATCTTTGATGACCGCATAAAATATAGTCGCTCCATTCTTCAAGCGATTTTTTGCATTGAGAAGGTCACACTCGACTGGGGTGGGTGTAAGTGAAGAAGGATCTAAGGTCGATCGACCCTTGGTTTCTGTATCTCATATTGTATTCATAAGGAGCAGCATTCGTTCTTGCGTTTTTTGAGTGTTCTGATAGAAAGTTAGTGGAAAGCCAGCTTTTTCAAATTTTGAGCCTGAGAAAGAGCGAGAAGGCCACCCTTGATTCTGCATAGGAACTATACAGCATCTCGATTTCCTTCTTGCTAGGGTTGTATTACCTGTTCATATTATGGCTCGGAAACTGAGCGAGGACGTTAGTTCACCCTACACTTTGTCTCTAAATTGCCATTGGGTTCCGTTGACTCAGTAGTTTACCAAGGCTGGATGGGTATCCATCATCGGCACCGCGACAACTTCATGCTAATACCTTGACTCTTGTAATCCTGGCCATCTTCAAGCATTCACTTGACTAGTAACTCTGACGGTTCCAGATTAGTCTCGGGAAGCTCCATGTATTTTCCGGTGTAGTAACCCTCCCAAGTAGTTACCGGTTCATCCAATTTCTATCTGCTATCTGCAAAGGCTTATCGCCGTTTTGTCATCGGTGAATTCGCATTTCGGCATTCCCAAGATCTCAGACCCGCCATCCCAACAGTTTTTCGATGGATTTCACTTTCTCCTTTGCCGATCCGATCTCTTCTGCCACTCTGCTTCCATGTGCGCCATAGTCTGCAAAGTCGAACGCATTCTCATTCCAAACATGGCTTGGTGGAGCCGAGCCCAATTGAGCATCGCGTTTCGTGCCTAGCAATCTTTCATGTCTCATGCATTTTATTGTTTGATGTGCCCACAGCCATAATGCCCGAACAAAAGCTACCCCCAGCTCCGAGGGAAGTTCGTGGGAGCCCATGGATTGACTCATTGCAGATCATTGCCCGACTATCCCCCAGTCATCGCTTTGTCATCCAGTTTTGTGTCGTTTTAATTGAAGATCGATGTTGAACGAAGAGGGGCACGAGGCTCCCGCCGTGGCACATTTTTCCTCTTTGTCTTCGCTCTGTAGTGAAGGGGGGCCAGGTGTGAAACGCCGGCCGCCATCCCCGCCTCGTCGTCCTCGATCTCTCACCGCTCACTTGTTTCTCCCTCTGTTTCCACTTTGCTTTTGAAAAAAAAATGAGTTTTTTCGAACTTTTTTTTTCCTTCCTGTTGTTTGGTAGTTATCGATCGGAATTCTTTGTTTCGGATGGCAGCAGCAGATATTTGAGGCTTTCATCGATACCGTCAATGGTCCGGCATAATTTCATTTTCCTAAACCATTTCGATGTTTCTTCTCAATCAGTTCCCATAGTAAGGAGGAACATTATCGCCTTATTCCCCAACAATTTTTCTTTCTACCTACCGTTTCATTTTCTTTCCTCTCCAGTAATTCCTTTCTTCAAATTACATATCCTGCCTTTTTCAATTGGGTTAAGAGCTCTCTGACAACTTAGATAAGATCGTTGTGGAGGTAGTAACTGGAAGATCAGGAATTTTGCCTACTGCCCTATGGTTTAAGGAAACAAATCCAACAATTTAGCTGAGCATCCGCTCACCGAGGACTCTTGAAATGAATTGGGTTCGCTCGAGACTTGGGTAGAAATCAATTCCGCAGTTCCTTTTATTGGATAACTAAATAAAAAAACAAATAAATAAATGAATAAGTAAATATGCTACGTGTTCAAAGCCTGTGGAATGTGAATAGGTCGCAAGGCGTATTCGAAGGTTACTTCTAGGAGCTCGTTATTCATGACCTCATCCTGGAGAAAGTGTCAACTATATAAGAGTCTTTCTTTGAAGTCCATGCAAAGGCCGAATAGAGCTTGGGGAGCCCAGATATACAGAGAGGTGCAGTGTACAGCTTCTATATGTACATATAATTCCTTACACTTACCATACAAGTCAAAGAAATAGTAGCTGAACTTCGGGAATCTGGCAACCGGAGTGTTCTTCTGTTATTACTTTCTGCCCATTACTACTTCCTCTACCACTGTTTAGTTGCGCAATGCCATAACACATGGCTATGCGTGCTGATGAGGAGATGCGTGTGTGTGTGTGTGGTGTGCAAGGGGAGGGGTCGAATTTCAAATGGCCTCCGATGGGACGGGCTGGTGGAGTATCGCGCACTCGGCCATGAGAGCCCATTGGCAACTAGATAACATCTTCATATCTGTTGGACACTGCAAACCCTCTTCCATTGAATTGGCGTCCGATTTTCAACATTGCTAAAGGGACGAAACCCGAGCCAAGCTAAAAGTTCCACAGATCGAGTTCCTAATTGTGAATTCGCCACTCTCTAAACGACGATTTCTTTCTCGACGTACGGTGATATCCTAGTATTTGATATCTATCTATCTCTAGTATTTGAGATTACTACCTTGGTCGAATTGCAATTGTCGCAGCCACTGGGTGGATCTCCGACCGATCCCCATGGCTGTTCCATCCTTCGCATGCCTTTCTTTCAGTAAAACACGCTTTAATATTCATTAAAAAGTTACTGGCGCCATTTTCCTACCATAAAATATGAGCTTCTTCGAGTGTTGTTGAGACCTTGATCGAGATGTCCCCGTAGAAAGTCCCAGATGAACCTTTGTGAGGACCGAGGGCAATTTATTGTTGATTACTTTGCTAGAGTGGATATTTTTGATAAAAAATCCATCGGGACGCCAGTACAGAGATCTCCAGAGATCTTCGCACTTGGTTGCGTCTGTCACCAGACACAGCGTAACAGTAATTAAACAGTTAGGAGCTGAGAAATTACGGCGACGGGCCCGAGTCGGGGGTAGCCGCCACAGCAGGCACTGTTGTGAAACCCTCTACCACCCACTTTCAATTCATCTCTGATTTTCCCTATCTACTCATTGTTTCGACTACTTTCCTTCGTTGTATGCATGTACTACTTGAATGGAAGACGTAGGCGTCTCCGCCCATTTGACTTATCAATTTGCCTTTCGTTTTTACCTCTTCAATCAGCTTTTTGTTTTTGTATTCTCAGTCGAGTTCGATCGCCAGAGATGTCCCTTCCCTTTGTATTTACAGCGGGTGCCTTGGACTCCTGTGAATCAAATTTCGCTCTATACAGAGATTACTCTTTGTTCATTGGGACCTGTTACTCTCTGATCGGTTCCCCCGACTTCCTTCCCAGTATTTTCTCGCACCCAATTTGTTTCCCTCCCATTTCTCGTACTTTTTGAACAAATCTAGCGGCTTCACTTGCAAAATGATCATGAAAACTAGTATGTTTTTTCCTCTCGTACAAACGCAATAAGCCGTAGCTGTTCTGCCCCCAAAATCAGATTGTCGGAAAAATATGAACATCGACGCCGATGGCCAGACAACAAGGGCATTTGGGCTGACTGGTAATATCTCATTCTGCGTCTCTGACATGGATGTACTCACTGAATTAGAATAAACGGTGGAAAACTTGTGGGAAATCAATAGTATTCTACAAAAAAAAACGTTCTGGCATGAGGAAGCATGAAACTAAAAAAGTGGCCAGTGAGCTCAATATTTGTTTCCTTTGACGTTGAAAAGTGTCATACTTTGGAGTGGAACCGAATGGTTCTACACAGCCGACCGCCCTGATTAGGATCTTTGAATGCAAATACACTAAAAACAGGAGAAAAGATAAGATGCCGTTAGTTTTTGTGAGACATATGCTGGTCACATCCTCTGCCGTCTCTCTCTTCCACCCGTTTCGCATCCGTTCTTTGTTATAAAACACTTCAGAAAACCCACCTCCTTACCCTACATGGTCATATAGATAAGGCAAAATATTAGGTTGTACTGGAATCACTGCCAGGTTCATTCTTTTCCTTACTCAATAATGCAATTAAGTGACGGCAGTGAGGAAGTCTCCAATGTAGCCATTAAAGAAGAAGCAGGTTTGTTCAGGACGTGGTTGAAGTGGATGCTGGGGTGGGCACATTGGAATAGCGGGGGGCAGGGGCATAATACCCAATGTGGAGGATCGATGTGCAAAGGCTAATTCTAGAGCAGCGGCTCGCATTCCACCACCCAGCCATTGCCCTATTGTTCTTTTCATACCGCTCTTTACTCGGCCAGTTAGCCACATTACTGGGCGGCTCTGCAAATCGGTTAGGTAGCTGTTTTTGACTCCTTTCGTCCGCTTTTCGTCCGGACAAATTGAATTCCGTCAAATCGAGATCGGCTGCTCCTTGCTGACATCGTACGTCTGCTAACTGGTTTACCTTTTAAACTCATAAAGTCTATCTCATATGTAAGATTTATCTTCCCCAAGCTATTCACTGTCTAAGCACATTCATATGCAGACTTTAGCCCTTATCCTACTTTCCTTTTTTGGCTGGAAGTTTTCCATTTTCCGCAGTAAATCCTTCAATCCCTCGGGGAGACCAATTCAGCTATGTTTTCCCGTCCACAAAATGTCACATCGTTGCAGTTGGAAGACCAAAACGAACGTCTCCGCCTGCAAAACCTACGATGTACGACACAGCTGCAGATGTTGAGGAGCTTCACTGAAAAAAGCAAACAATTGAAAGCAGAAATGGCGATGAGTAGGAGTATTACGGTTAGTTTTATATTTTGTAGTACACAGTAATTTTATTTCACCCCTAAATTCACTCTTGTAAAGCTTCCCTTTACTTGTCTTGCAACTTTTTCAAAATTTTTCTTTGCCCCGTGGAACGGCAGACTTCAATTGCGATTACTTTACACCGTGGACAGCTGGAAATACTACCGCCTTGTTCCTATTTTCTTCTTCCGCCCCTCTGTCCACGAGAAAATTTGTAACTCGGAAAAAGCTAAAGTCATCTGTTCCAAATGTGAATGTTTGGCTTCGTTCAAGTTTTTGTGGTAGTGGAAGGCATCGTGGCTCACTTTGAGCGACGCCTCAACGACGAAAGCAAGAGTGCACTTGTCGCCTATCCTTCTGCACAATACTTCTTTTCCCAAACTCCCGGATCGCGTCACCCAATATGTGATTCCAGGGGACACTTCCTGTGATGCGTGACACCGAGAATCGAACTTCCGACGATTCCGGTCTCACCAGCGACGACACCAGCGAGCGACGCCAACTTGGCGCCAGTGTTATTGAGACTTCAACGCCACGGCAACAGAGGAAGCCAGGTAAGGGTTGCTGCTCTTTTCTTATGTGCAGTTACGCACGCCTTTCACAGAGACGTTTTGAGAGTTTTCATAGCATTTCCTCCGAAGGAATCGTATCAGTCCACATCAGAAATCGCGCTAAAGTCGTGTTGTCGCAGTCCGTACAGAACAGCTCGGTTTCGTCCTACTCACTGAGACCTCCTTTATTGAGGAAAACCTCACTGAACGAATTCTCATTGACGAATTTACGGAGGCCCACCTTGAACCAATCCCTTGAAATATGTCCACACCCACTTAACAACTGATTTCTGCTTTACAGCATGCTCCATTTGCTTTATTTCGGATCTGGGTGGCCCATATGAAGTGTGGTATCCAAATATGGTTGAGTTAATTAATGGCCGTTTGATAATGCTGGAGTCATTCGTAGTCCGTCAAGATGTGTCTGGTATCAATTAGTCCCCGAAAGCTCCTGGAAAGAATTACCTTTTTTGATCTTAGACGTAGTATGGGAACATATGGAATTGAACATGGGACTTTGTGCTTGCATTCCCGTACTACAGCGTGAAGCTCCTCCATCCTTAATGAGTGATGATTTTCAACTGCATTCCAAGTTTACAATGGCCCAAAACGCGTTTTCTGCGTAACTGCGAGAAAATCGCTCGAAAATGGTGAAGAGCCGTGAGAAAGTCACCAACCAAGCGCTAATCTGACATGTTTCAGTTCGACTTCGGAAGGATTCAGTAGAGTTGGAGAAGGGATCGTCGACCAGCGATTCCTCTCCTTGGGAGGAGAAAGCAAAACCAATTCCTGTTCCGAGGAAGCTAACTGGGAACAATAATTTTGTGAGGCGTTTTCTGCCGATTTTTTTTTTCGTAGTAACTATTAACTGCGCTTCTAGATGGAACGAGATAGCCTGAATTCTTATGCTGACGATTACGAATTTGACGTCGAAGATGAGATTTTCGACGAGATTGCCTCTCCTGCAGATAGAGAAGGGTTTGTAGCTTCTTGCAGTGAAGTTCTGTCACGCTGTAACTTCCACCTTTTTAGGAACATTAGGTACAACGGTTACGTGAACCTCTCTGACTTTGTTGCCATTCGTGACGAGGGGAGCACTTATAGCGACATCATGAAGACGGCAGTCGAACGTCCAGCACTGCCGGAGCACAAGCCAAAGGCTTGGGTAGGTGGCCTTACGCGGAATAGCTGTGATGGCAGTCAATGCTTCACAAGCCGAACTGCCGGCTATTTGTCTTTTTCAGGAGTCGAGACTGCTTCACTTGGCGTCTGAATGCTTGTCAGTGAGTGATTGCGGCGACTGCGGCGACCTCCCATGCACCAGCACCAATTCGCCAAATCATCCAAACTCCAACAACACCACCGCGGTAGGCTCTATCGAACATATCAATTCTATGCGGCCCTAAGGAATTGCTTTGAAAAATGACAGCAGGAAATCGTTGACTGCCTAAGATCTAGAAAAACCTTTGAAAAATGAGACTTGGCTAACAGCAGCACCACCGCCCTTGGCAAAGCTTCTGCTATCATAAAAAAGGCTGGTAGCAAGGATTTTTTTCGGATCGCTACGGCTATCGAAAAAGCCCGGCTGATCCATCTCAAACATATTTCTGAACATCATTTGAGGCGTAATGTTGGCCTACTACAGAATTTCGAGGGAAGGGAATCATCCTTGCAAAACCATCACCTTGCCGTTGAATGCGCAATGCTGTTTGTAACAAATAGTTATGAATCGATAAACTAGAAGGCGTGTCCCTTTTTGATCAGAGTTGTAAAGGGACCATCGAGATCTTATTCGGTTCGAGCACGGTTTGTGCCAGGACCATCTGATTGGCTTCAGTTGTCGAAGTTTCCCTGAACGCAACTCGATCCACCAACCAAAGAAGTGACAGGCGTCTGTAAATGGCTCCAGAGGGTGACTGTGAGAATGTTTTGCCATTGTATTTAGCCCCAGCCCATCATGTTCGGTGATATGATGTAGAACGCAATAATGGTTTCTGGTAATAACTTATGATATTCACAAAGGGCCCAAGCAGTACTGTCCCAGCTTATTGACCATCATCAGAGAGGTGGAGCATAAGCTTAACCGGTAGTCGTACCGGTAAATACGTCGCGCTCAGGCATACCGTTCCGTAAACGATTGCTTGCTAAGCCAACGGTCCCTCTTCAATGAATTGTCTCGTAGTTGCAATGAATGACTGAGGGAAACTTGGAGGTTCGTTGCCCATGAGGTCCTAATCCAATCGGCAAACGCGAGCACAAAAAACAGCGTATCCATCACTTTGCTGCATTGCTTCAATTCACGAAATACACTACTTTAGGGGATGTCGGTATTGTCATATCTCGAAGTTAGGGGGAGCTCCTATGACCTCTAAGGTGGCGCTAAGGGCACCATTGCCGACTGGTGTATTGTAGTTCCAAAATTCCACTTGTAGTAGCCTCAGGTGTTTCTCTCTTGTTATCTTTCCATAGCTCTTCTACTTTCTTAAAATTTAGCTCAGATGGTACGACTTCGATCCACCTGTCAGTTTATTGACATGATATTTGCCTGTGTTTACTTAGTGCTTATTTCTCACTCTTATGAGAGAGCGCGTCATTTTGGCACTGAAATAAACAAACTTCCAATCGTTTTTAAGATTCTTCACCCTTGTTTTCTATTCCCAACTATCTCAGAACTCCTTGGCAAAGCATCATCGATCTCAACTCGTGCCATGCCCTTCGATTCTCTAATCCACCATTCATTAAGTCCTCTGATTAGCTTTTTAAAATTCGGCGACGCTTCGCAAAGCTAATCGGCTGATGGGCTCCAAAATAGCATTGGAAAACGAGTGGGTGTTACGAATTAGGAAGAGCAGGCCTTGTTTTCAAGCATCTGAAGGCTGAATGGAATCATAAAGCCGAAATTCGTTATTTGCCTCCAAAAGCAAGAAGTCATAATAAATCGAAATTAAAGAAAATTTACCGAAACTAACCACCGAGAAATGCTGTTTGCAAGTGGCGTAAATAAATAAATTTGCCCCTTGTTCTGCAGTTCTACACAGGCCATTGAAAAGGAATTTGACAGGCTGAAACGTTTTCGTAGGGTGTGGGCGCCTGACATTCTGCATTTAGCCCCTGAACTGGTGTCAATTATGCCTTTGTATGAAGTACATATAAACAACAAGGAATGGAGGCTTCATTTTTACATATAAGTAGGGGTACTTTACCGATTGACAGCTTATGAGATCATTACCTTATTCCCTAAGCACTTGAAGGATTACATTGACATCTTACTCCCATGATTTTTTCCCATCCAAACAGCTCATATTCAGACCGATTCACCTACGTCACGACGTTCCTGCGGAAGCAAGCTGTCAGCTCGTTCGTCTCCTCGAACGCATTCCTTCTCCTCCGCTTCGCCGGTCATTTCCGAAGGGCTCTGCTTTGCGGTCAAGGATCTTTCCATAGACAAGCCATCAGATGACGGTTACTACACTCCACCGGATGCTTCACGTCACAGTGGTGACATTCGCACATCACTCATACCCTCCTTTGACACCGTGAGCAATTTTTGTTCTTTTTGATGTTTAGTCACTTATAAACTCAAATCGTGAATGGCTAACCATCAGAATATCTTGTAAACCCACTTTTTGGTTTTTTAAAAACCGCAACATTCTAATACGAGTGACTTGATCAACTCAACGAATAATACAGCTAAGTATATTAAGTTATAAGTATGGCTAAACGAAGAGGAGCTTCACTTCAGGAGCACTCATTTTTCGTATTCTCAACATCGTTTCACGCCATGCGCATCCAACTATCCCTTGCTGAATCCCAAGCAAACATAAGAGATCTGAGTACAAGGAGGGGGAGGTCGATTAGTCGAGGCGGACACAGTGCATACATTTTGAACTACTTGAGATCCAGTTTATTTGGTTTTTACGGGATAAGTAGTTCTAGGTATCCTAGTCTAATATTCCCTGTGCTCCCTTTCAATAGTACTGGGCTTGTGTTCGTTGATCTGTATGTAGATAACTTTCGGTAAAAACTTTATTTATCAGATGAAATTCAGTTATAATTAGGGTTGTAGCGGTACTCCTTCCATAACTGATATTCCATAACTTTACAGGTGGAGAAAAGCGGCTATTGGAATCAAATGTCCGATTCCCGTCTGAAGTCCTTGAAACGCAGATTCGTCGTGCTCAAAAACAATCAGCTCAGCTTCTATAGAACCGCTGTAAGAATAAATTCTTGAGAGTTTCCTTCTCCTTCCTTGGATAATGTATTACCCCTATCAATCTTAGAAAACCAATGCGAAAGGCGAGGATCCTCTGATGAAAATAGTTGTGTCTGACATCATTTCTGTGGCGAAGATCTGTCAACAAGGTTCCACCTACGCCTTCCAGGTATAACAGTTATTACAAAGTATCAACTGAAAGACGTTCTCGGTATATTTTAATAATATGAAGTCTGGTTTTTCTTTGCGATCTCAGTGTGTCACCGACCATTCTTACCTTGGCCCATAGCATATTAAGTACATCCCTGCATATAACTTAAGTCGAGGATTACAACGCGGAACAGGTCTTGGAATTCACATTACATGCAGCAATTTTTTGGATCAGTTTTCTAGCAAAGGTTTATCCTAGTTAACTTTATGAGACTTTCATGGCACCTCAATTCGTCTCCCCGTTGCGGGGAACCTCTCTGTTCTTCCCTTCGAGGCGCTCTAAAATCTCTCGAGGGCTACGGTATGCGCGTAGAGGCTCTGCAAAACTTTCATAATTTCAGTTGGTAACTCAATCGGCAAAATACCAATTCATGACGGAAAGTGAACGAACTACTCATGAATGGGTCACCACCTTGAATGCTGTCATCAAAGGTAACGTAATAATTTCCTTCTCGAGAAGCTCAACATTGGGTTAGCAATACCTAGGCGCACCACCTTTTGTGATAGCTTTTATTTTTAAAATCCTTTATGAGTCTTGGCTAGGATATGGGTGCTATGGCTCCATCTGAGCTATTACAATATTTCAGTAGAGAGGAAAGACAAAAAAGCTTCTTCCTAGCGACGATTCTTGTATTAAAGATCACGAATTCGATGACATAGCTGGTTTTTGAGGGCTAATAGTACCTTCGTGGGGTATGCCCACACCAAATGCAGCAGGAAGTGAATAGAGTTTCAAGAAATTGCAATAAATATTTTTTGTAGGATCAACGTTGCGAGACCTGGCCACTCGTTGTGCCCCCGTAGAAGCGTCGATCAGCGGCTGGATGACAAGAGTCCGGTGTGGCCACTCGAAACGTGTTTACGCCTCGTTGGTCCGACACAAGCTAATGTTCTTCAAGACTGCCGAAGATACGGTATGTAGGTGACTCTTTAGAGGCCCAGTGTGAACGCTTTGGAAACTTACTTCACATGAATTTCACTCCATTTTGTGGCAGGCTGGCAATTCAACAAAACCTTTCCAACCCAAATCTTGAAATTGCCAATATTCGAGGCTCGATCTAAGCATAGAAGTAGGAACCCTCGATTGATCTCCACCGTAGCAGCTCTCCTGAGAAATAAAGTGCTCACAGACGAACTTAAGTAGTGAGATCATACATGTTCACTGTTTCCCACTGTTTCTGCGGTGGACGGGTTAGCAACATGTATCATGATAGTCTTGTGTGTCCCGGGATCGAAGCTTGCCCACGACTCGTAAGGTTGGCGAGTTATGGGCAAACTTCGGCTTTGAGACACAAGTCATACTCGCGTTTTTGGGGCGCCACGCTCTGTCAGGATGCTATTGGCGATTGCCTCTTCCTCCTGTTTTGGGACTATCGGTTTATAGTGAAGAGGGATTCACAATGAAAGGGAGCAGCCGAAAAATGTTACATCCATAATCTTATCGTGGACAGTGTCTTGAAGGTGATCATTAGGGTCTCAGTAATAATCCAGAAAGAATCACTTCACGCTAATCTTCTCGAGGCTGATATTAGGGTTTAAGAGAGTGTCCTAATTTTGCTCGACATTTGACCGTTCCATGTTCCCAAGTAGTACACATATTTCAGTGATGACGAGCATTTAATGAGTGCGTCCTTAATTTGAGCTCGTTTCCAGGTCCCTTGTGGATTTACCCAATTGAAAGGCGCTCGAGTGATGGATAAGCAGAAAATGTCCTCAGACGAGTACAGTGGCAGCAGCGATGAGCAAAACCCTGACAAGAATTCGCAATCGGGCAAAAAGGATTCCTATAGTCTCAGCATAGAGGTCTGTCTATCAATCTAACTAGTATGGCCGAGAAATTGAAACTATTTTTCAGATGGCTAACGAAGATCCGCTCTACATAGTTCTGAGGAGTAGTGAAGAGAAAGAGAAATGGCTGTACTTCCTGCGAGCAGCCAGTGGCGATGCGACGCTTTGTGGATCCCCATTCGCAATTCTTGTTCAGCGAATGCTGGCCGAGGGAGGAGAGCCAGGTAGACACTTTTTCAGCTTCTTCATTTGGGTATTCCCTAAATGCGCCATTCAGACTCACCATTATGGAATGATTTACTGCTGACGTCTTGTGACGACACACCAAAGGACACGCTCATGGAATACGAAGGGAACGACAAGAAAAAAGCGCTTGAAATAGCCAAGGTCAGTGGAGCACTGAGATCTAATGGAGGTTTCCTTTGACACTAATGACTACCACGACTAATGTGTAGTAATCGCTTAATTCCCACAGATCCTTGAAGGGGCTGAGTCTGTTCTCGAAGAGATTTCTTTTGGCGAGGCAATCAACTTAAAATGTTACTGAGCGATTTTTGGGTACCTTAATTTTACTCTGTCGATTCACTTATACCGCCTTACTGAACTTCCCTTGGAACCTCCCAAGCCTTTCCACACCATTCAGATGCTCCATGGTAAAGTGATGCTTTTAGGCGACATACCTGTTCGTCTCAGTACTCATGCGTCCAATTGCTGCTCAGTACCACATTGATCTCGCACAGAACATTCTTTCGACTGCGATGCAGGTGAGATAATCAACATCCAGGATCTGTACATTCATCCAAATCTTGGATTCTCAGAGGTCAATGTTGTGGGAATAGAAATGCTACTCGAATCGTTCGAGATGATGACTATTTAGCCTTCGATAATATGTCTTCTTTAAAAACTTGAAGACTGACGCTATAGCTTTCCGGAAATCATGTCAAATGTCTTCATTCCAGCATGAATTTCTTCGCAACGAAGTCTACGCACAATTAATCAAACTGACAAGCGGGTCGATGCCGTTTTCAATTCAGGTAATGCGATCATTGTCCTAGATCCCTCTCAGAAAATACTGCAGGGAAATGTTATAACTTTTTCCAATGTGACAGTGACAGACGTCATTAAAATCAGAAAAGACGAATGCTCCCAGCTTCACTCAATACTTTGTCGCAACACAGAACTAGTTTTCACTCATCGGAGTCTCAAAATTTTCAGGGCTGGAAACTGCTTGCAATGGCAATTCCTCTTTTCGTTCCAACACAGTACTCTCTACTTTGGTTGCTCAAAAAGCATGTCGCTCGTTGGTGTATGAAAACGTGAGTGATTTGATGCCGTTCGGATTTTTACATTCTTTATTCGATATACAACCACTTCCTTTCAGCGGGGACGAGTCGAACATGGCGGAGTACTGTCAGTGTGCTCTGGAACGAGTTCTGCGAGTAGGATGCCGAGAAGCTGGGCCGAGTCGGCTCGAGACTACATCTGTACTAACCAGAGATCCCACCAGTACCAAGTTCCCTCATTCGATCTCCGTCCGATTGCCAAATGGGCAGTATCAGGTGAGCACCTACATGTAGTTAAAGGCTATAAGGATGATTACTAAAAGAGGGTCCCTCGGCTACTGTGAAGAGGTTAGCTGTACAAAGCGACCGCAAACAACATCGACCGTAGTTTATTCAACGAAGAAGATGCATCTATAATCTTCCGTTGTACATATTATCTAGCTCTCATCCTATTTCCTGGGTAATTACCGTATAGGGTAGGCAACAATATCACTGGACGAAGTTTTCAATCATCATGAAAGGCTTTTACAATTGACGAGTTCGTTTGCGGTTTCTCCCCCGAGAAAGATCAGAGCTTCCAGAAAATTTCACAGAGCTTACCAACGTCGGCGAACTTAATTTGCTCGATATCCTGTGAATTTTCGAATTCTTCAGGTAGTCGAATTTGATGGATCAACAGAAATTGGTCAATGTCTCTCATCCCTCTGCCTGAAGCTCGGCATACGTCCGGCATTACTTTCTGGCTATGCCCTTTACATCGATGACCCTACTACGAAAGGGCTACAGCTGCTCAAAGGAAAACAAAAGGTCTGTAGTTATATGAATTTATGATAGGAACTTGAAAAACTGAAAGAAAACCCTATTATTCGAAAAGTTCGGAATTAATGGAGCATGACTAACAGAGGCGCAATGCGATCGCGAAAATGTTTGGGAAGGTACCAAGATAACATAAAACTTTTGGGTTGCTCAACGTTATCTGGCACATCTCGTGGTCGGTTAGCAATAAAGTGGACTATCTTCTTCTTCCAGCTTTGCGATTGCCTATACGAGTGGGAGGTTCGACTGAGGGATGTGCTGAGAGGAAAAATTTCGCCCGACTGCACAGCAACACTCTCCTTGCGAATGAGGCACTATTGGAGGCATTTAGTGAGTGCTACACAGAAGTCCAAAAAGCGATTTATTGGATTCAAAAATTTCAGATATGTAATGAGACCCCCATGGAACGATCGCTTCTCGTATGGCGAATGGCTGAAGAGCTGGTAGACAGTCGTATCCCAACAAGTCCTCAATTAGCTGAACAACTAGCTGCACTCTATGCACAGGTAGCTTGAAAATGTGTTATTTTGAAAACTTCTTTATTCATGGAACTTTCTAGAATACAGTAGGTGAAGGAAAAGTTCCCACATAGTCAATAATGAGCAGGAGGAGCTTTCATAAAAAGTTTCTGCTACTCATATTAGTTTCGTGGCAGTAGCCTGTCACGTACTCGTGTGACTTCTCTGACACTCAACTGACACAGAAAAACCTGGAACTGGCTCATGAAGGAAAGTCGATTTCTGCTGACCAAACACATCCTCATGATCCAGGACATAATTTTCCTGCCTCGTGGACCGCTCCCAAATCCAGGTCGTAGCCCTTGTAGGAAAAAAGTAGCTATATGAAAAGAGATGTAGGCAGGATAGTGGTGTTCCTATGTATTGCTCAATATTGGTAATGTAGGAGTGTTGCTATAATGCTGCCGAACAGCTGCCTAGAAAATTTTGAAAAACTTTTTCGCATGTAAAGTTTTGTGAATTGAGGTTTGGGCAGAGTTACATAGCAACAGAGGAATATAAAATCGGGCGGTGTTACGACTTGATACCCAGGTATAAGGGCTCTAAAAGGGTCGATGATTGAAATGACTTACGATCCCATCCATCCTTTTTTAATAGCCAAAGATTGTGTCTGACCTTAGCTGAACCCTATTCATCCCCTTCCGCCTAGTAAAGGTAATAATCCGATGATTTTATGGCTCTCTCAATTAGGGTTCGTTAGTAGGATGGTTCATGGGGCTTAAGAACTCCCAAACCCACCATACTCACGAAAAACAAATTCTGTCATTCCGCTGAGAGTGATTCAAACATTAACATCCTCAAAGTGAATCCTAGAGCCTTTTTAACGATTGTCCTTCTCATAGAGTTGGGGGTTTTCTTGGTAAAAACTAACGTGAATTTCTCGAAAATCAACAGCAATGTTGAGTGAAAACTATCAGAATCAACCCATTTTCAGCTTTCCTACGGTGACGCTCCACCTCAGGCAATTTCTGACGAGCAATTCGCTTTTATCACTAAGCAATTCTTCCCTGCAAAAATGCTGGACGTCGCATGTTTAAAGTCATTAAGGTGAGTTTTCTGAAATGGCATGGCACATTTACGTTTTAAAGTTCGTTTTCTAGGTCCTCTTTACATTCGAGTTGGAGTGAACTCAGTGGAATGAGCGAATCGGACGCAATAAAATTCATCCTGCAGGTACAGATTCTCTTTCACTGTTCTGTTGCTTCAAGTTCCCTTTGATTTAAGGACATTCCAAATTAACGAAATAGGAATGACTAAACCCGGTCGGGGTCCTTCTCCCAGTTCTGGGTGTAAGTGTATTGGGCACTGGGAGCATGTCGAACTTCAGTACAACGTATTTTTCTTGTTACCCATTTATATTAATGATGTGTTCCTGTATAAGCCGCTAGAAATAAGAAGCACAGTAACTCCCGTGAAAATGATATTCAATGGGAATGCAACAGTGCGTGCTGAAGCTGTTATGCAAAAGCGGGAACCAATTCAATACGGGATGTCTGCTTTACCACTAAAATGAGCTTCTACTTCAGGTGCTTCGGCAATGGCCGTTGTTCGGATGTCATCTACAGGCGGCTGGTATGAGAACCAGTAATGAGCGGAAGGTCTACCTTGCCTTGTCCGACACGGCCGTTCATGTCATTGATCATCGACACTTTGTATGTTCCTTAAGCATTCGCAATTGACCGTTTTGAAAAGCTCGAATCATTTCGTTTTATTGAATAAATTTTTGAAACTTTTCAAAATTCAATTCAGGATGTGATCCGATCTTTTCCATACAATCGACTGGCTTCGTTTGGTGGTTTCCATAACGACTTTATGCTGACCGCTGAACGAACATTGCTGCCTGATTCTCATCCAGAAGAAACCACTAGGGAACGGATAACGTTCAGTATGGAGAAACACGAAGTTGAACAGGTGACTATGAAAGGCTTTGCTCTACTCCCGTTGTATAACTCAGCGTGACTCCACTGTGGATCTTGGAAAACATAGTGTATTTTACATACTTGTTCAAAAGAACGAAGAAGGCATCGAATATCTTCCCACACGACTAAGCCTGAATGAATTCGAACACGTGAAGGAGTCAATTATCGCGGGGCGTTTTTCCTTTCCCTTCAAACATTAAGATCAGTCAGGGTTTTTGGTGATTTACATCAACCGACTGCCAACTCATGGTTCCTCTCACTTTATCTATCGAGTTCCTCTTTAATAGAACCCTCAGAAACGCCGCTGATCTCTCTTGGATAGCTTCGAGAAGAAAAAGCGAAATTAATCAAGACTATGTAGGTGTAACTGATCCTAAGACCATGCACCTTTTGTGGGCCCTAGGATCAGTTACAGTTAGAGTCCAGTTTATACGAATACCTGTTGCTGATCTCCTCCTATTCCTTCACAGACTTGTCTTTCTAATCCATTCCCGATTAACGCTGAGAGTTGCTCCTAGGAGAGCCATCGCTACCCATCAAAGTTCTTCCTGATGAAAAAGTTCCCTGCCAGACTTGTATGAAACGCGGCGACTTCCCAGGTCACCGATAAGCTGAACACTATGCACAAGCGCTTTTCACGACTCCCTAGTCTAAATCATAAGCCCAAGATATTCTGAGAGTAACACGCATTTCGCGCCATTTACGTTTCTTACCGAAGGCCCGTAGTTATAATAAATAATTCAGAATCTGATCCCTGGAGCTCCTATGAGAGCCCAATTGATGTGGTTTTGTTACCGATTCTATTGTTTTCAGTTGACACTTCATCTCGCCGAATACATACGTTGTCAGAAGCTTGTCTGGAAAGTTTCTAAATAGTGCTTGCGGTCATACACTTGTGCTCCATAATTTATTTGTATGCCTTTATTCGCTTGCCATCCATTTCATATAATATAAATCTGATTTCAAATCACTTGGTTTATTCTGTTAATAAATTTTGAAAACATGAGAACTGTTTATNGACAAACCCCTCAGAACCATCTATCTGAGGTGTAAAAGGATAATGAAATTAGCGCTAAAGGTGGACTGCACGAGGAACTCTCCCGTGAAGTTCGCAAAACAGCTTAGTAGATCTACTTCATAATCTTCCTCTGAATTTTCTTCTGCCATAGATTTTTACTTGTCAAAAATTAGGCTCAATTATGCAATTAAGAAACGTTTAGATACCACCGTTCTGTCATCGAAGTCTGATAGTAAGAAGATCTCTTGTTTATGGTATAGTATGGGTTACTATGTATGTTTTTACTGGCAGACTTGCTATACCATTTAGTCCTGAAGTACCTTTAGTCAACCGAACCAGTCATGGAGAAAAGCGAGCAATCGTTTCGCAATTCCTCCCGAATAGCATTATATGCTCCGATTGTCGGTTGAGCAATTCGAAATAAATGTCCATCTCCGTCAGGGTGGAGCTCACAATCAAGCAATCGTCTATATTCCGAAAGTACAAAATGAGTCTACGCTCTGAAACAGGTTGCTCAATTTGCCACTACGAGCACTGGAACAAGCTATCGCTACCCTCTAACCTGCTGATAGTACTCGACCATTAATAAACATTTTGCACGGTAGGCACTCACCAATTAGGGTCACGGCCTAAGATATTGACAGACCATGTAGATTAGCAGAGCTTTGGTGGTGTTGAGAACTTCACATATGTACTGCTTGCATAGTACAGTCATTCGACGCATTAGCGGAGGCGACTTCAGAGACTCCATCAGAATTTCTCCCCTCAATCTAGCACCATGAAGTTTCATTAGTAGCTGGTGTTGTGAAGGTGAGCAGGGAAACACTCATAAACCTGTACAAGTATTAAATTCAGGAACCATGAAATTCTGTCCTGTGATCCACGTGTAATACTTGCGATAAGTATACCCTTGAAATACGACGGGTCACCTAAGGCTGATCCTTTTGGGGGAGTTTTGCGCGTTTTATTAGCACGTACACGACTGAACAGAAGGGTATTTCACTTTTCAGGCGCATTATGATGTTTTTAGAAAGGTTGGCCACCCGTGCTAGTTCTGTCCACTTTTATACAAGCGGTTGTAGCGTGAATTCCCTTATGTCCAACGATCATCAAAGCTCCATTAATCTACAGTAGCGCTAAAAAGTTTTCGGTGAAACACTTTGAAGTTTTTTCGTTCATAACTTTTTTCTTGGTAGACCGAATCGTGCGAAATTTGGATATGTTTAAGAAGAGCATATTTCACCCTACCCATCAATATCTGACTGCAAAGCAGCAATATCCACAGATGGAGCAAGGTGTTCGTTGCGGTAGCAGATTTCGCTGAAGGTAAAGTTGTTGACGTCTGCACTTGTTCGCACCTTATAAGCGTTTTTCTTCACTATTATGTTCGGCATTACCGCTCGCACACTTTAGATGTGACAAAAAGGAAAGAGTTTCTAGAAGAAAAATCATCTGTATTTTCAGTTAAATTTGAGTTTATGCTCTTTAGTATATCTGAACATGATCAGATTGCAGGTCAATAGTGGTAAATATTCACAATACACCCACGCTCCAAATATAGAAATTTCGCAAGATTAGATCCAATAGGAAAGGAGTTACGACTGAAAAGTACGACTGAGGAACCATTTCACCGAAGACTTTTGAGCGCTACTATATGTGGCTTGCATATCTCAGGTCATGACAATTTTTGGAGAATGCCTTCCGTGCAACATATTCAAACGATCGCGCCAGTAGTACGTGCAGATTAAAGGACTAGCGATGGGGCGAATGCTTGCTTTAGTACTCGCAGTGGCATTCGTGTCGGAAATGGAGCAGCCTGTTCTAGAAGGTAGACCCATTTTTTACTGTCGCTTATATACAGTAGCGCTCAAAAGACTTCGGTGAAATGCTTTGAATCTTTTCCGTTCATAACTTTTTCTTAGTAGATCAAATCGCGCAAAAATTCGGATATGTTTAACTGGAGCATATTTCACCCTACCCAACACTATTTGACTGCGAAGCTGCATTATCCACAGATAGAGCAAGGGGGTTGCTGTGGTAGCAGATTTTGCAAAAATTAAAGTTTTGACGTCTGCACTTATTCGCACCTCATGTGCATATTTTTTAATCATTTGTGTTCGGCACTACCGCTCGTACACTTTAGAAATGACAAAAAGAAAAGGGATTTTAGAAGGACCATCATCCATATTTTCAGTCGATTTTGAGTTCATGCTCTCTGGAATACCTGGAACACGATCAGATTGCAAGTTAGTAGTGGTAAATATTCATAATACACCCACGCTCCAAATATAGAAATTTTGCATGATTAGATCCAGTAGGAAAGGAGTTACGACTGAAATGTACGGCTGAAGAGTAATTTCACCGAAGACTTTTGAGCGCTACTGTAGGTTGCCTTATTTGCGCTCTACCCAGACGGAGATCTATGCCTGTTTCGAATTGTTTAACTAGCAACCGAAAGAAATAAAGCTTACGCGAGAGAAACCGTCGATTGATTGGTTTCCTTTTTTTCATTGCCCAGATTTGAATGACTGCGGTTTCCTTTCAAAACTGAATTGTATCGCAAGCCTACCACTGAAAACATACCAACCTATTTTCGTTCCGCCCATCCATTTATCAATAGGAAGCTATCACAAAGAATATGCTGCAAATCACCTTGAGAGTTTCTTCCAAAGCTGAAGAGAAAAATATTCGGTGCAATGGGCTTTCCGACAATCACGAACGGCTGCGAAAATTCAGGATTCCCTTTCCGACACAGGCAAAGGATGGTAGCACATAATCTTCACGGGTGAGAGGAAAAAAGTTCCATTTTGTGTTCCATTCATAACAGACGAATCAAGCGCGGCCATACGAACATGTATGAGCGTCATCACGACCCATGAACTTTGAACAACGACTGGTACACAATCGACTGTATGACCGCCTAAGCACAACGCCTTAGTGTTATATACCCACATGGTAAGGAAGGAGTCTGCATGGCATCCGATGTTGCGTATTTAAAGGCACAACTCGCGGCAAAAATGATCCCTACGATTTCCTCCTAAAATTATCCAGTAAGCCCCAACAGTAGCACAAAGGATGCTACTGATAGGATAGGTATAGATGGAAGAAACACAATAGATGGGACCTAGTATGAGTCTCATTACCGATTTCGTCGGCGTTCTCGCTCACTACATGTCAGAAGAATAGCGGAGACCTACCGGTTGCACCGTTCGCACCAGGATCTATACATTCAATATGCAATCAGCTGATCTTCTGGTGATCACGAGATGTTTTACTCTTATTCTTTTATTTTCCGCTAGTCTTCTTGCTGCTGCGGTCATTCCTCTAGTAATTTGAGAGTAGGAAAAAAGTGTTATTTCGCTGTTAATAGTGCTCTTGTTGACATATGCTCACGAATGAATGAGCTTAAGTGAACTTCCTGCTCACTGTAGTCACCTGTACGCAATGACCCACATTGCATTGCTCGACCAAACACCCCATATACATACATCATTTGGGTCATGTTCTCGCCCAGCCCCGTTTTTAACCACTTTTTCGAAGCCTTTCATCTCTTTTGTGACCCATTCTCGTGCTTTCTTCGCTTCAATTGCATAATTTTTCCTTCAGTTTTTGTCATAATCTGGATAACCCAATTATCGTGAAGTCTTCAGTGTAAAGATGTGTATAGTACTCGCCGTAGGGACTCACAAACTCACGCAGACGTCGCGAAATTGCGTCTTCTTCGTATTTCCCCATAGGTCGTCCTAGAGTGGAGTAATCCGGAAGCTGAAAATGCCATTAAACTAAGCTGGTCGAGCCCTATAACCAGATACCTAGAAGTATAGAAAATGATTCGTTTTGGGTTGCGTCATCCACCTAAGTTCTATGTATACGAAAAGTTATTGCATGTACATGGAGTGCACACTTCAGCGCTTGTAGGGACTGAATGTAGGGAATGAAGGAAGAAGTGACACGTACTCGACTCTACTCAGTACAATGTGAAAATGATTGATTGGTTCTGTCCAGTCTCAATCGTTCGTTTC